TGATGCATCAGCTAGGAGGTACGAGAGACAGAACAGAGCCAAGAACACTCCATGTTTTTTAGTCCGTTCTGCCAGAAGAATGGATTTCCCGTGAACTGAATTGGGAGAAGCTGTGGATAAAGCAGGTGTTATTTTTTGGTTTGTGTGGTGGGGGGAGGGAGGGGTGGTTGACCAAGAACTCCTATCTGGAGCTGTCCAGCTTAAGGTTGTGAAGTCCATGAGACATCTGAAAAAGTCTGGAGAAGCGCCGTGTGAACATACAAATTTAGGAGGCATCAGTCGATGGAAGATACTCGAAGTCATGGAACTTGATGAAGATGCTAAGGGAGGAGGTGCAGGTATTCAACGGGGAGGACTAGAGGCTGAGCCCCAAGACCCACCACCATGGAAAGTCAGGGAGAAGAGCAAGAAGTAGCACAGGAGCCTGAGAAGTCGCCCCCCATGATGTTGAAATAAAGCCAAGAGAACAGGATGACCTACAGGTGGAGGAGAAAGTTTCCCCAGGTGGAGGGAGTGATCAGTCGTGCCAAACACTGCTAGTCGGTGAAGTAGGTTGAGGTCTGAGAAGTGACCGTGAGATGCAGCTGCCTGCAGGTTAGTGGCGACTGCACGCAGGAGGTTCAGCGGGTGCTGGGGTGGGAAGCCTGACGCCCTCCTGTCACGGAATCCCACCCAGCACAGCACGTCAAGGGACCCACAAGGCTGAGAAGTGCAGTGTGGTTACTGGAAAAGGGGAAGAGCTCCCTCCACTGAATGAGAATGTGGAGACACTGCACTGTGGCCAACTTGAGGAGGGGGTGCCTCTTCCTTTCTAGGGGTGCTCAGCGTGTGCCTTTGGTTATGGTTAATTTTACTGATCCACATGCCTTATCTGGTTGCAATGAACATACGAGGGAGAGAGGGCAGAGAATATGAAGGGTATTACACCAATCATTTTCAGTAAAGGGAGATTGAAACAAATCCCTAGTATGAAAATGGGTGAGGAGAAATTTAACTCTAACCTGAAAAATTTTCTCCTGATAAATAAAGTGTATAAGGTTCTAGACTATTAACTCTAACGTTAAACCCAAGATGCATTTGTTGACTTTAGTGGTTAAAACATCAAGTCTCTTTCTCCATAGGGAATTACATCATTTTATTTATCACTCAGGTATTCTGTTAGTTCGACATCATGGGAATGAGAGACGCTAGAATAGAGACTTTAAGGGAGAGCAGTAAGTCTGAAATATTCACAACCTATCGTCTTGGATAGAACATACAAGGTAGCTAGTGGGGCTGTGAAAGAGACTGGCTGGACACCGGAGACCTGGGTTCTATCCAATGTAGCACAGTTTATATAAAGCAGAGAGACTTAGGTTCCGGTCCAAATTTTGCTACTTACTAACTGTGACACTGATCAAGTCATTTAAACACCTAAGCCTCAGTTCTGTCATCTGAAATGGGAATAATGGTGGCTGTGAGAACTAAGTGATTTAATATGTGTAAAGCACTTAGCCTTGAACATACAATATGGGAAATCCTTGTAGATGGTGGTGGTGGTGATGACGATGGTAGTGATAATGGTCATGGTGGGGATGACAGCGGTGAGGATGATGGTGATGATGGTGATGATAGTGATGATGAGGATGATGGTAATGATGGTGGTGGTGGTGATTACAACGATGATCATGATGATGATGGTGATGATGGTGATGATGTGATAGGTGATGGTTATGGTGGTGATGGTGATGATGATGAGTTAGAGAAGAGGAGTAGACAGAGAAGAAAGGAAGAAGAGGAGATTCAGGAGACTGTAGTGGTGATGGTGGGGGTAGACGGTGGTTTTGACAAGGGCAACTCCCAAGTCTTCAGGTAAGAAATAGTTCCCTGGACCGGAACTTTGCGTGCTGCACAATAGGCACTCAGTAAACACTAACTGAATAGAGCCACGCTCTGATAACTTCTAGAGCTCACCCAGCTTCAGATCATTCCATAATCCTAAGAATGTTATAATCTTTCCTGGATCTCAACATTTAAACTTGTGATATTAAAAAAAATGAATGAATTATTTATGGTAATTCAGAAAAATCAATTATAAAGACTCAGTTCATCACTGCAAAGCTGCTTCACTCATTGTAAGCTATTGAGTTTTAGGGAGCAGGAAGAAAGGGAATGATCAGGAAGAGAAGTGCATGAAAGACCAGTGCAGGGGGAACAGTGAGAGTCAAGTACAGAGAAGGTCAATCATGTTCTCTTACACTCTGGATGGAGACTGGTCTTCGGAGAGACCCGGCCACCTGGTTACTACTCAGCGCAACATCAAACTCAACGTGTACATTTATAAAGGAGGCGTTCTCCTAAGAAAGCGCCTGGACACCAAAGCCATGTCTGTTTAGAACCGCAGGCAGTCTTGATGAATAGAATTAACCTGCCCAATAGGCAGTCTGGGCCTCTTCTGCTGGGCACAAGGCCACTTCTCAATTGCTCGTATTGACTCCCAACTTTGCGGATAAAGAAATTTTGGCTTCCGGCCGGAGAGCCGGCATACCTCTGGACCAGCTCCACGCATCTGCAGTGTGAATTAGCTCATGAGATACAAACTCCTTACAACCAACCCGGTTCCAGCAGGGACTTACATCCTCTTGTGACTCCAAGTCTCTGCATATTTAAAATTTTTATTTATGTATTTATTTTTGCTGATAGAAAGCTGAGTTGGGTCAAGTCTGCAACTATGGGCGCCCTAATAAACAGATGTAGATATATTATTTCAGGACTCCATGGAGGCTTTCCAGGGCTCCTCTGACCTGCTCTGAGGCTCATAACTCTGGTTCCGTATTCCTCGTCTCCAACGTGTTTCATCCCTAGATTCTGCCTCTCTCCCAGGTGTTCTCCCTCTCTCCCTCCCTTCCTTTCTCTCTTTCTTTCTCTCCACTTGCTTTTCTTCTCTATCCATGGATATCATCTCTCAGCTAACCTTTGGTTTTCCCACCAAGGTTTAGCACATTCTAGACTTACGTTCCCCAGGAGTCTATTCTCTGCTTTCTCTAATTAGTTAACTCCCAGCCATTCTTGAAGACTAAGTTTCTTTTTCTCTAATGTTTTTTTTTTTAATTTATTTCTGAGAGAGAGAGAGAGAGAGCAGGGAAGGGTCAGAGAGAGAGGGAGACGCAGAATCTGAAGCAGCTCCAGGCTCTGAGCTGTCAGCACAGAGCCTGATGCGGGGCTTGAACCCACAAACTGTGAGATCATGACCTGAGCTGAAGTTGGACGCTGAACCGACTGAGCCACCCAGGCGCCCCCGGAATGTTTTGTTTTTGAAAAGCTTGTGAGAGCAGGGGAGGAGCAGAGGGAGAGGGAGATAGGATCTGAATCGGGTTCTGCACTGAGAGCAGAGAGCCCTGATGCAGGGCTTGAACTCACAAACTGTGAGATCATGACCTGAGCTGAAGTCAGATGCTTAACCAACTGAGCCATCCAGGCGCACCTTGAAGACTAAGTTTCTACACCATCTTTGAGATGCCTTCTCTGTGCATTTCATGTCAGAAATACCACTGGTCACTCATGGTTCTGCTTCTAGAATGTGGCTTTGCACTCATTGAGAAGAGAGTAATCACGTTTCATTCCCAAGATGGGGCATGGAGCCTGCTACTGGTAATTTCCATCTGCCTATGCCATGGGCAAACACAGACTGAAAGCATGTCCAAAATCTCCCTCAGAACAAAAACCAAATGACGTCCTTCATTAAACAAAAAGGCCTTGGCTCTATCCATGTTTGGGATTTCTGTGAGCACCCCCACCCCCCCCACACCTGCTATTCCCAGCACACGGTTTTCATTTCTTCCCAGTTCCCTTTGTAGAAAATACATTCCCCCTGGGATCCATCTACTTCTCTCAGTTTTAAATAAGCCAATCTAAGGATCAGAAACATATACTAAGGCCACAGTTAAGGATAAAAGAAAAGCTCCAGTTCTAGAAGGAGACTGATGGCAAAGAGTCATTGCTCGTTGATTTTGAGAGTCTGTGAAGCATGAGAAGCATCTGAGAGACAGTCTGACAGCAAAAAAGCACAATAACACTGTGTCACTCAACAAGACAGTAGTGGGAAGGGCACTAAATCTGAAGTCGGGAGACAGGCCTCCAAATGCCTCTGTGCCAACAGCGAGCTCTGTGACCTAGAAAAATCCCCATTTAACCTCTCTGGGCCTCATTTATTATAAAAGCCAGGATTTGAACTAGACCTCGAGCATTCCACTAGAAACGTTCTCTGATCTGAGGATTAATTTTTGAGCGCATCCCACAGAGGCCCCCTCAATGAAAACATCTGCGGAGACAGCAGGAGAGGTACACAGCCTGCACCAATTTAGGGGGAGGGAGGAAAGCCTGCAGAGGACGGTACACCATCGTTTACACCTTTTCTCCCGTGACTGCGCTTTAAAACGAGCTCAGCCCCAACTAGATGAAATGGATTGTGTTCTGGACCAAAAAACACATCATGAAGAAACTGCCATTGGCCTCCAATTCTGCTTTGTTGTTTTAAAACTCTCCCCAATCAAGACAAGTAGATTACATCCAGACTAAAGTTCAAGAGGAGAATGCATGTAGCTGCACATGGCACCAGGCTCCACAGTTCATTCGGTGGCATTCAAGAAGAATCCTTGGGGGTTCCTTTCGGCCCCTCTATCCAGTGGGGAGTGAAAGCGGGGGCCGCACGAAAGGGAATAAGGAACACGGAGAAGGAGGGAAGCTTGGCTGTCTCTGCCTGTTCCTGTTGCTTAGCAACATCTCACATCTCCGCCTGAGAAATAATGATTCAGGGAGGCGACACAGAGGACCCATTTCTCACGAAGGAACAGCCCATTTTACCAGCTACACATTTTCTTAGAATGATAATAAGATGATTATCACAGCAAGGAGCTCTGTGCATCCACTTCTACGGCCGGAAAGAGAACGTGAGAGGCAGACTACTAAATGCAAATTAGGGAAGAGCACCTTCCTGTGCACATGCGGGATGCAGGACTCACCGCTTATCCACTTAGCCTCGGGGTCGTGAATTTTGAAGTCATCACTGAAGAGATCTTCCACTGTGACTTTCTTCTTCTGAGACAGGCTGTTATCTTCAGCTAGAAAAGAACATGGCAAATAGTTAAACCTCTTACTTTTTGGTGGAAAGAGAGGACCATAAAACACTCTGGTTGCCCTTCAGAAATAGTACATATGGTAAAACATATACTTTCCACATAAACTTTTGATAAAGGCTGAACAAAAGCCAGTCATGCTTTTTATTTTCAATGAAAATATCAACAACTATGGTAAGGAGATCATGATGCAAGAAAATGGTATCATTTCTCTTCCTCCACTTGAACACGTAACAGATCATATTCCTTAGGGAAAGAGCTAATTGTTTCAAGACTGATTTATGAACAACAAGGTGGGAATGGTCAAGAGAGGAAGGAACAAATGTCCCGAATGGATCTCAACTGTGTGATGTAACCAGCTATTCATCATGCATTTATTAAATGCCAACTACGGGCCGCATGTTGGGTCCTGGGAATGAAAAGGCAATTAACATATCTCTTAGGTATTTATTCTCCATATGCCTCACTTGTCCCTGGCTGCCTCTGGGCTGCGAATCAGTTCTTATTCAGATAGGATCACACCTCAAATGTCTGTGTGCACACTACCAGATTCTGCCTCGCTTCATCTCGATCACTTGGCAGTAAGCACATGAGATAAGCCTTGAAGGTACGAATCTAATACCCACCCCAAGAGGAGATGTTTAGTTAATGGCACCAGCGGGTGAGACTGTAGAAATCTGGCAATGATTATCCTATTTCTGGAGGTCGAAGCTAACAGATTAACCCCACAAGGGTAGCACCTCAAACCACTCTCGCTTCTGTTATACCAATAACATTATTAACCATTTCCAATGTACGTCATCCACCTAGAATTATGTACTTCCGTTCCCACCTTCCTGAAGAGGAGATGCCAACTGGTGGGGTGCTTTTATTGAAGACTCGGGGCCCTCATGCTGTGGTGTGGGGCTGCCCCAGTGCCAAGTAGGGGGTTTGGTTGTGTGCCTCCTATGTGAGGTGCTTTCACACCCATGTTGTTTTACACTTTCATGTTTGGTTCTCATGTCTCTTTTTCCTCCCAGCTTCTGCCTGTTGAGCCAGCTTCCACTGTGTGGGCGGTCACGCCGCATGTGCTCAACAGTGCCCTCTGCCTCTTTTAATTTTCTGTTTCAAGATCTGTGGCAGGTTGGGAAAACAGTAAGAATCTTTGTTAGATGACATGAGAACATAAATAAATACCTTCTGAATGAAATCTTCAAGGCTTCTTGTAGGATCCTAGTGCATAGATTTTTAAATTTTTATTTTTTTATTTTTTTATTTTATTTTTTTTTTAATATATATATTTTTTAATATTTTTTATTTATTTCTAGGAGAGAGAGAGAGAGTGAGCAGAGGAGGGTCAGAGAGAGAGGGAGTCGCAGACTGAAACAGGCTCCAGGCTCTGAGCTGGCAGTCAGCACAGAGCCCGATGCGGGGCTTGAACCCACAAACCGCGAGATCATGACCTAAGCGAAAGTCGGACGCTTAACCGATTAAGCCACCCAGGCGCCCCTGATTTTTAAATTTTTAAATGTTTATTTTATTTTTGGGAGAGAACATGCGTGTGCATGTGGCAGAGACAGAGAGAGAGAGAGAGAGAGAGAGAGAGAGAGAATCTCAAGCAGGTTCTGGGCTCTGTGCTATCAGGACAGAGTCTGAAGTGGGGCTCAAACCCACAACCATGAGATCATGACCGGACCTGAAATCAAGAGTCAAATAGGATTAATGTCGAGAATGATGCCTTTCAAAGTGGCCTTCTCATTAAACCTGAGTATATGTGGAGCTCTCCCAGGTGCTGAACAAAACATGTTAAACCAAACCTAATTCTTCCCTGTAGGACCTTTCCATCTGCAACTGACACATCCCCGGAAAAAGACAGAGGGCTGCAAATACGATGCATTTCAGTATGAAAAACAAACAATAACTGAACATTTCAAAGATCACCAGACATTGATCTAGTGAAGTTACACTGTGATCCAGTGATTAAGAAATATATTTGCAAGTAGCTGACAAATAAGTCTGGGAGATCTAATGCACAGTACAGCGGATGTAGAAAATAACACTGTATTATAATGCTGGAATTTAAAGTGTGCAGCTAACTGACGTGGTACAATTATATATTGTGATATAATTGCCTTTGAAGAGTTAGCTAATACCTTTATCAGGTCACATAATTATCATTTATTTTTTTCAGTGGGAATAATTAACATTGAGACATCGTAAGTCAAGACTTGAGGGAGCTCAGAGAGCCCGAATATTGCAAGAGCTTCCATGCTGAGAGCAGTGGAGCTGGCCCTGACGAGGGAGAACGAAGTGGGAGGAATTCTGGAAAGAATTCTCCGAGTAAAGCACCTGCAGGCCAAGATAAAGACACAAAAGAAGAACATTCGAGCTAGAAGGAAAGCAAGGACAGGAAGGTGTTGGGGAGCGCGGCATTCTCAGGGAATCGTGTGTGCCGGCTTTGGCGCAGGAGACAGTGTGACTGGGAAAGGTCTAGAGATGAAGGCAGATTCTCCCATTATATTTGATATTCTGAAATTTCACTAGAAAATGTCCACTCGTTGGGCACCTGGGTGGCTTAGTCAGTTGAGTGTCCAGCTCTTGGCTTGGGCTCAGGTCATGATCTCAGGGTTCCTGGGATTAAGCCCTGCATCGGGCTCTGCACTGACAATGTAGAGCCTGCTTGGGATTCTCTGTTCCCTTCTCTGTCCCTCCCCCACTTTCTCTCTCTCTCAATAAAAAAAAAAAACAAACATTAAAAATAAGATAAAAATAACAAATGGCAAATAAGAGAAACAAAATGTCTACTTGTGGATTTTATTTAAAAATCAGGCTTAGGGGCACCTGGGTGGCTTAGTCGGTTAAGCGTCCGACTTTCGCTCAGGTCATGATCTCGCGGTTCGTGGGTTCGAGCCCCGCGTCGGGCTCTGTGCTGACTGCCGGCTCGGAGCCTGGAGCCTGTTTCAGTCTGTGACTCCCTCTCTCTCTGACCCTCCCCTGCTCACGCTGTCTCTCTCTCTCTCTCCTAGAAATAAAAAAAAATTAAAAAAATTAAAAAAAAACATTAAAAAATAAAAATCAGGCTTATCACCCAGTAACACTGTCAGTCTAAGAGGTACCTTTCTCCTTATCAGATCTCCTTTGATACTGCTTCTCCTTCATGCTAGCCTACCTTCGAGGGTGCAGGTGGACCCAGCGTGAGAGCTGCTGGGTCCAATCGCCACCTCACTGGCTTTTTCTCTGTATTCTCCATATTTTTATGTCTTTGGGAGCATCTGGACGACTTCTTCCATTCAATTTTCCACTTTGTCATTGTTTTTAGCATTATTTATAGAGCTTCATCCTGCTGACTTAAAATCTCGAATAATTACATTTTAGTTTCTAATATTCCTAATTAGCACCTTTTCAAGATCATCTAGTTATAAGCTCCTACATGACACTGATACTTTTTTTTTAAAAAACCTAAAATGTCACTTTCTAATGTCCCTATTCATTTATATTTCTTTGGATTGAAGTTCTCATGTGTGTTAAGCGGGTGGTCTGCTTTGTAGGGGATAGTTTCTGGAGGCCCTTGTGATTCTTACTTGTAAACTTCTGCCCTGCAGGCATCCTGGGTCACAACAGACCCCTTGTGGTGTGATTGTGAGCGATGTCCTAGGCACTTTGAGGCTCTGTCTAGGCCTCATGTGGCCATCTGGGCTGGTCCCTCTGCCCTGCGTGGGTGATGTGATTCAAGATCCTCTGAATGTGAACCCAGTTTTAAGGTGGGGGCACTCGTTCCATCCCTGGCCCCTCATGGACACCAATATCCTAGCGCTTCCTGTTGGGTCTGCGTCATCCTCTGCCCCTTGAGGGTGGCATGAGCTCAGACTTACTTGGTGCTGTAGGTTTTCACCTGGTCCTTCTTTCAAAGACACCTTTCTGCTCCAAGTATATAAAAACTCTTGTTTTTGAGTGCAGCTATTTTTTTATTTATTTTCTCTCATTTCTACGTGGTTCAAACCAAAAGGACAAGATTTCTGGGCTCAAACTGCCATCTTAGACCAGAAGTCAATGTACACACAGAGACACATGAAGTGGCTGGTGGCTCTTCTGGTCTGGCTTTCTTCCTGAAAGTAATTTGGGGAGGGGTTGCATGTAGTGCTATAGCCGGATAACCTCAGAGCACTTGCAACACACGTGGCAATCTGATCAGTTTCCTGGCATGCGAAGGCACGTGATCATCTGTAGGGAGGCTGTTATCGTTATGTAGGTCAGAATATAATGCAAATTGCCCGGGCCCCTTTCCTTTCCTGGTGCTTGTTAAACAGTTATGTTGTTAAGCAGCACAATTACTGGAGAACATTTTGGAATGTTCCTTAGAGATTTTTAAAATTAGAAATAAATTCCACCACCCTACAATGGATTAATGGGAAGCATAACCTCTTGAGGCTTTCAATCACTGCAAGCGGAGGTTGGCTACTGACAAACACAATTTAGGAAGGAAGGAAATCTGCGAGATTAGTCAGAAGTCTCTAGTTACTTCTGCTTGTATCAGAAATTGGAATAACTAACGACTCCAAAAAGCTTTGCAGTCTTGGGAGGACACTGGTGGTTTTAGCTCTTGATCCTTTAGGAGAGAGGAGGAAAGAAAGCCATTTTACGGAAGGCAGACCCGAGCTACTGAGTGGTTACAGGGCTTCTTCAAAGATGTGTGGGGAGTTGGTCAAGCTGCATTAACCACATTTGCGGGGAAATCTGAACGCTGACGTTATTCACAGATTCCAGCTTGTGTAGACCTATTCCAGAAGCGGGATGCTAATTAAATTATAAAATACAGAAAATCTCAGGCAGGTAGTGCTAGTGATAAAACACTACGTTCTCCAGGTTTAAAAAAATCCATAAATAAGGGAAACGCTTAAAAAGCCATTTTTATGGGCATATTTCCTTAATTAGAAAAACGTAGCCACCACATCAGATCACGAGAAGCACACAACAGTGGCCCACGGGGATGTGTCATGTAGCAGGTG